CCCCCCCCCCCCCCCCCCCCCCGTCCTATCTAGGACGCGTGGTCAACGCTCTAACAGCTAAGGCGTGCAGGACAAGCGAAAACAAAACCGAAATACTCTGCCCCTCCTTACCTCGCCCTGAGCGAGCCTCGCGGCCATGAGCGCGCAGGCCGCCTGAACGGCCACATCCTCGGCCGCGGCGGCTAGCAAGGCAACGCGTAGGTCCGCAGCCTCGCTCCCGGCCGCCGCCGGTGTCGGGGGCAGCAGCGATGACGGCGAGGTGGCGGAGGAAGAGCAGGTTGCTTGCACGGCCACCTCGACGGCCTCTCGCAGGGCGACCTCAAGGCCGGCGATGGAGGCCTCTCGAGCCGCCTGCGTTTGGGGGTGTCGGTGAAATGCGTTCAGTGGCGGGAGGGCGTCGTAGTACGACACGGGTTGCCGGGTAGTGCTACGGCAGTCATTCGGCCTTGTGCGCAGCACATGCCACTTGGCGCTCGACTTGCTGTCCTGGGTGTGCTTTCGTTCATCTAGGACTACACACTGCCGTCCTACCAAGTTCAACCTCAAAGCAAGCGGCCACGCAAGACACACGTTCCGCTTTCTCTGGGACATGATGACGCCATAAAACTTCACAACCCTTTCCTGGATTCTTTTTTATGGCATGTCACCGTCATGCCTCTCTTCAGTCCCCTCTTGGCACTCAGCTATTCCTACACGAGCAAAAAAAAAAAAAACGACCTCCGAGTCGCCGTCGCCCCCCCCAGCCCCGTCGCTTCCGCCCCCCCGCCCTCCTCCCGTCGAAGACAAGGAGAGAGACGCTTCGGCGTGTCCACCGATGGCTGCGTTTGCCTTAGCCACCGCCTTCAGGAGCGAGGCGGCCAGCGGCTCTGTCGGTAGGGGGGGCACGTCGTTCTGCAGAGCCTGTGTTTGAGTGAGGAGGGGAGTGGAATGGAGCGACGGAGGTTGGTCGGCTGTGCCTGACGGGGTGTGGCGGCTAATGGGTTGCGATGATGGGGGTACATGGTTTAGATTTCGCGTCGAAAAAAGTTGCAGAGCAGTGTGCGAGCCCGCCAACAAAAACAATAAATCACGTCTCCCGGGTGGCCAAAGCTAGGAGGTGTGCGGTTGTTTCTGGAAGGTGGTTCTTTGGCCACCATCGCCGTGGCTATCACAGAAACACGGGACCAAGTTAGAAGTGGTAGGTGGTGGCAGTGGTTATAGCAGCAACAGCAGCACCAGCACCAGCACCAGCAGCGGCGGCGGCGGCGGCGGCGGCAGCGGTAGTAGTCGTGGTGTTGGCGGTATCTTGACGCCAAAGTATTCCTCTATTCAGTATCTATCCTTCCTCACCCACTCTTATTGCCCAAGATAGTAAGCTGACCCAACACGTCTTTCATCATGTTTCGTGATCCCCAATATTATGCAAAAGACGCTCTTGGGTGTGCCTCCCCCACCGGCCTTGCCTCTAACAGGAAGATATCTGATCCGTGGTCACACAGGAAGATTCTCTGTGATCAACCCAAGTCATAACAGGTCTACTGCTGTCGGCGTTTCCATATTCGTCAGTAGCCTTTGCAGTGTTTTTCTATTAAGCAAACATGTTGGACAAAGGATGCAATCGGGAAACTTGGGTTAGGAATAGCCTACCCCCTTCCCCGTTCTAATTGCTCCTACCATATCACTCAAAATATGAACACAGCCAGTAACGTAGATGTGCCAGACCAAAATCCTATCAAATGCTCAAAGGCACACACACTATTTATAGCACCGAACGATATCATTTGCTCTACATATGTGCTACTTCACTGGCACTAAAGGTGGCGACGGCATTTATCAACCGCAAATTCACTCTGCTGCTCTCGCCGCTGACAGGCGATATTCAGCCCAACATCGGCATCCCGGGTGGTATTTACCGTAAGGCATGGAACCGGCGTGACTTTGGTTCTCTTCACCAACCTAAGTGTGGCACTTACAGCAGTTGATAGATGCACTCTGTCGACGAAGTCTTCACAATATTCCCGTGGTCGCATGTTACTCAAGACGCCTTCTGCTGTTGGTGTGGTAAGGCAAGCTACCGAAGATATCCCACACCCTGGACCGATTTTCGAAGCTCGATATCTCGGCAGGAAAGTGGTGACGGTGCCGAAGATGGCGGCGTTGGAACGTCTCGTCTGGAGCTTTCCGACAGCAGTGGTGTTGTTCTTCTTCACATTAAAAAACCGCTCCAGTCTCCGCTCAGTACCTTCTAATGTCCGTACTGGTCCAACTGACGCGGACGCCTTCCGTGGTCACAAGCTAAATGCCCCAAAGGGGGTACGCCTTTCTAAAACTAATAACTTACCGTACACTTCAATTTCGTCATTCTCCTCGTCTTGGAGTAATCGAACTTTGAAAATCAGTCCATGGGGTGTGATAGGGTGTGATATCTTACGCAACCTACGGTATGCCCAAAGGAGATGAACCAATTTCAAAATCTCCGCACACACGATCATGTTGATCTTGTGGACCCTGCAGTTACTTACGTTTTCCACCGGCAAGCTTGACATACACAAGAGCGTACTGACCTCCTGGAAGGCTCTGAACTTTCCCTGGAGGAATAGCACCTCGGCACCCTGCAACCAGCCAGCCCATTCCCCGACGACCACCTGTGTTGTGGGTGCTTTGCCTCCAGCAGCAGCCGATGACGAATCCATCGCCCGTCGACCATTGTTGTCGCCACCTTCTCTGCACTGCTGCTTGGATAGCTCAGTGCCCATACTTTGAACCAACCCCAACCATGCCAAAGCGAATTCCTGAAGCCTTTCTGCTCTCCACCAACAGCTGCTGCAGCTGCTGAGAACACGGCAAAAGAGACAGCGGGAGCAACACCGTTGTGAATGTGACAAGGGCAGGGGCAACGCGGAATCATCGAATACCCCTGGAAGCATTGCCTAATTCATCACACGGAGCTCCCGTGCCGGTCGGACGCTTTTTGTGTGAGGTGTAACCGCGCCATCTTGTTCACGAGGCCCACGGCATACGTCCCTCGCCCCTTCTCTCTCTTGGCCAAGGAGGCCAATCAGTACTACGCGTGCAATTGTGCGTGTGTGCATATTACTGCATGAAATTAACCCTGCAAAGTTGACCTCCCATCTGGACCGGACACACATTTTTGAATTTTGAAATCCAGCAGCAGCAGCAGCAGCAGACGACGGGTGTCCGCGGAATGAGAGACATCGAGACAGCAGCAAAGAGACTGGGGTAGGAGGGTTACGGCGGAGATCACCACAGAATCCTCTCCACCTCTGCCTGAGGAACCCACGTTAACGTCAGGCAGTAGCGGGAGAATCGCCGCGCTCGACATTCTTCGTCATGAAGACGTACTCCAGGCGTAACAGCAAGCCTATTGCCCGGAGCACCGGGAGCGGCATCGGTAAGCAGGGTAGCAGCGGCGACACCAGCAGCAGCGTACTAACCCCATCCACACCTTCGTCCACTCCATCAGGAAAGCGCGTAGCTGGTGGTGATGGTGGTAGTCGTAGTGGTGGCGGCGGCAACAGTTGCAGCAGCAGCAGCAGCAGCAGCAGCAGCAGCGTTGTTCCACCTGCCGAAGCATCCGCCGCAGCCATCAGCCACGCGCGAGAGCAGAGGCGACTATCCCTCGCCACCGTCCCCGTATGCTCCCTGAGCAAGACGCCAACCCCCAAGCTGACTCCTCCCGCTACCGCGGTCGGAGCGCTCGGTGTCGAGAGAAGGCCGGGCAGCAATATCAGCAGCAGCAGCGGTGCTGCCGGCGGAGACGGTGGGTGGGGGAGTGGCGGGGGCTTCGGGTCGTCCTCGGTCCTAGGCGTCCGCAGGCTGTGGAGTGCTGAAGACCCGCTCAGCGTCGGCCGCAAGAAAAGGTGGGCGCTCCTCATTGCTGAAAGAGGTACACAGCTGGGGTAGCACTCCATGTTGCGTATACCGTATGTTGCGTAAGATGTAAGACAACACACCTCCTGGACCGACTTTCAAAGCTCTCGACGCGACGGCTCCAACGCCGACGTTTCGGAGCTGCCATTCTTTTGGTTGTAGGAGAAATCGATCCGTCCAGAGGGTGTGATCTCTTCTGTCACGTACGGTATGCTTATTTCAGATGATGCAACTACGTCCCGGGTGACATTCGATCCGTGCAGAGTAGGCAAAGAGTGTTTTCAGTTTCAGTGGTACACGCCCCAGAGCTGGGGTCTCCCATGGCGCCTTGTTTTGACGGCAGGCGCCCGAGTCGGTAGAGACTACCAGGTATTTGTTACTACGTCTGTTCAGCGCATCCGGGAATGGCAGTAGCCGTGGAGTCGCTCGATGTGAATCCCTTACTGTTCGTGCCAAGGGGAGAGAACGGGCAGGCGGGGTGAGGAAGGTCTGGGGGTTACAGCACCCCGCAACAAAATATGCAGCAAGAGGTCGTTGTCGTAACGCACCCACTACCAAACTTCGGTCGACCTTCATGTGCGCCCTCCCGCCTGGGTGGGGTGGGCATGTTTGTCCCCACTAACTCCGCGACCTAGAGTAGAGGGTTATAGTTTGTTGGCGTGTTGAAGCGCTGAAAAAAAAAAATGCTCATCCCACACAACGGCGACAAATTGTGGGTGTTTGGACTGATGTTACATTTGTATTTCTGTGTTTAGTTTCGTGGGGGACGTAACGGGGCGAGAATTGACGGTTGCTCGTTCACGTGCCAATGCGCGGAAGAAATACCAACAACAACGGCGACACCGACCATGTTGCGATAACTCCATTCACCCTCCCCCCCCTGGGCATTGGAAATGGGTTGAAGAGGCGGGAAGTGATATCGATAGATTAGGGAAGACATTTTTGAGCCACCTGTGGCAAAGTAGGCAGAAACGATTGGCCATCGGTGATCAGTCCTGTGGGACCAATGCTCCGTCCTCTCGAGCACGCGTGGTCAATGGTCTAACCGCTAAGGCGAGGTCTTTTTCCGGCCTGATAGTGACTCTTTAGGTCTAACCGGTGTTGAAGGCTAGGACACACCGTGGCCGACGTAACCCAACCAAACCCTAACCCTAACTCTCACCCTCACCCACGGCCAACGCACGGCCTAGCGGCCGTGAACTGGGTGCGAACGCGGAGCAGCCGCGTTCTCGGAATGCGGAACGGTGAGAGGGCGCTGGAGAGGGTCAAGGCTAGGAACTAACGCTTGACCAATCAGAGGGCGTGAAATCGCGCAGATAGGAAGAGTCACTAATAGACCCTAAAATCTACCGGCTAAGGCATGCAAAATATAAGAGTAAGCCCCCCCCGCCACGGACGGGCCCCGATCTTGGCGCGCACACATACCAGGAGGCCGGGAACAGTCAAGAGTACGCCGACTGCTTCTTCGATCAGAAAGAAGCGGTCAGGCGGAGGGAGGGGAGGAGGCGTTTTGCTGGCAGGGAGAGGAAAAGAGCAGACTTTTCTCGACTTCGGACAGAGGAGCTTGGGAGAAAGGGTGAGTTTTCGCTTGGTCTCGTTTTTTCTTTTTTTTCGGGAGGGGCATGTTCGAACGTGCGCTCGTTCCGTGTGTAATGCTTGCGGCGGAATCGGCCGGCTCGCCCCTGAAGAGGCGCCTCAACGCTTGCGGGGAAATGGCGGCTTTTGGTCCTAATTGTACCTTCTCACTTTGCATGGACCCCTATCTCCTTCCCTAGTCTTCATTCACCGCTCCTCTTCATCTTCAGTACTATGCAAATATGACCGAACAGCTACAACTCCCCTGACTCTAGGCGCAGGACGCCTTACTTTGACGATGCATCTGACTAGAATGCCCCAGACATCACCCCGAAACGCCACAAAACTACCCCGCAACGCCTTAAGTTATCCTCTCTCTCTTACTCTCTGTCTCTATACTTATACCCGTCTGCATGCTGCCTCCTCTCTCGTCTTCTCAGTGCCACCCCCGCCACCAAGCACCGCGCTCTCTCTGATCGTGCTCCCCCCCCCCCCCCCCC